GGGAGCCCGACGCGGGGCTCGATCCCAGGACCCTGGGATCATGACCTGAGCCGAAGGCAGACGCTTAACGACTGAGCCACCCAGGCGCCCCTAAAATAACATTATTTTTAAATAAGATTTCCTTACAAAGGTGTAATTAAGACGGGAAAAAAGGTTTCCTTACGGTGGTTAATTGGGTTTCTAATTTCATACACAGTATATAAATTAATTTATTAAATATCGTGGATTAAAAAGTATACCTATGATATAAATAATACTGATTTTTAAATAGACTTTGCAGTAAAATATTCCTTTCTTAATGGCTATACATACAAATTAAAATGTCACATTTATTACTGCGTACAAGTTTAGCACAATGAAAGAGAAATAAGAGAGAGACAAGGAATAGGGGTTACATAATACTTTCTGCCAGTCAATACCTACTTTTACCTACTTAATCCTCATTAACATAACCTTCACAACAAGCCTACAAAGTGGGTAATATTAGCCCCACTTCACAGAGTAGACACTGAATAGCAGAAAAGTTACGGTAGTGATGGGGGAGTTGGGTTTCAAACCTATTTCTGTCAGTTTTCAGAATCCACACTTGACATAACCATGATACAACGTTACTACAGTTTCTACTGAACACAAAACAGGAAAATTTTCCTCTGTGTCTGAGTAATTCAGTCATTTTGCAATTAAAACTTTCTCCTTAGTTAAATTTCATGCTTACTTCCTGTTATCTGCAGTCCTGCACTAAACTTTATTCAAGGGGTTTGTCAGGAGGCGGGGGGGAGAGAAGTTTCCTATTTTTATTCTGATGCTTATGGCCTAGCACCTCTTATAAAACATTCTACACAGTGTTAATATTTTTAATTTATAACCTATGACTTCTAAAAGCTTGGTAGCATAAGAGAAGTAAACCACTGATGGCTTACTCTTATCAGTTTTACCATTTATACCAGGTATTGACAAACTTTTTCTGAAAAGGGCCAGACAGTAAATATTTAGGCTTCTCAGGCAAGTCTCCGTCACATACTTTATTTTCATTTTTAACAACCCTTTGAAAATGTAAAACTCATTCTTAGCTTACAAGCCAGATTTGACCTAGGGACAGTACTCCGCCAACCCCTGATTTATTTTTTTA